AGCCCTCCATTTCAGAGAGTAGCATAGGCTAGGGCATTCTAACCTACTATTTGCACTGGGGATTTAGAAGAAACAGGCTCCAGCTACTAAAGAACTGTGTCATGAATACATCTCTTTTTCCCCTTTGTCACCTTATCTTTTCCAGCAGCAGACAAATAACTGTTTACAAAAAGAGATGCTGGCGTTTTTGAGCCAGAATATTGTATTGTGTTGAAAAATATGGTTTGGCAGCCAAAGGATTGGCACTCCTGTCAAGATAAGTTCTGTTTGTCACCTGCCAGTCTGTAATTTAAATGAATTAATAACAGGACCGTGTTCATGCCAGGATCACTGGTCTTCTAAGAGTCCATGGTGCAGAATTCCCTAAGAGTCCATGGTGCAGAATTCCTGAATCAGGGGAAAAGTACCCCTTGCTCATACAATGTAACTGCAGCGTGTGCTCCTATTCCTGGAAGCTCTGCTTCCATCCTAAATACTACATAGGTTAAATCAACAGTGTTTTGTGTTGGTGAGGGAAGGTCTTGAAGGGAAATGAGACTCTCTGTTCCTAACAGGACTAATACAAGCTAATATCAGGACATTACCCAGAGATAAAGGAGGAGTTAAAATGTTTGCAAACCCACATTAGAAACCCAACTCAGCCCTTTGGATGTTGTGCACAGGCCGGTGCTTTATTACTCCACTCACATCACATCCATATACACATCCACCTCTGGGTATCATAACCTCTGTATCACTGCACAGATCCTAAGTAAGAAAAGGGCAGCATAGAAAGTTAAGGCAACCTAACAACTACTCTAACCTACACTGCCTGTTAAGAGGAAAGCCTATATCCATATCACAGCAGAGCAGTGGAATGATTTCTGGCATATATCTGTCTACATTGTACATACACACATACACCACCTCCCTGACACTGAACGCTTTCATGACAAGGTCTGTGTACTCAAGCATCCGTCACTAGTTATTATAACAACCAATTTTCTAAGGGGCCATAGAAACATTGCCATAGCACACGTGTCCTTTAGTTTTTAAAGTAAATCATCATGCTTTTATTTTTGCTGTTGAAAGTTCGCAGCTGAAAGATGCTTCATGAATTAATGGGATAAGAAGTTATGAGTATTTGTGCCCTCACGAGGAAATTCTATTCGGAAGAATGGCTTCAATTGTTTCTCCATTATAAAAATAATAATAAACAGCATTGATCTAAAAGCTCAAACAACACTTTTTATCTCAGATTTGTCTAACCCAATGTGGACTGCTGACAGGGAGTTGGCAGATGGTAGCCAGGATGCGAGGAGTATATTCTATATAATAGAATAATTGTGTGGCAAAACCCTGGTGCCTTGGAATGCAGCATCCAGTTGCATTTGACCAAGTAAGGCTCTCCCTGCATTACTAGCAATTTTCACAGGCCAAAACAAAGACCTTTTGCCTGTGGTTTTAAGATCACAGGGAGCACAGTCGCTAAACAACTGCATCCCACATTGTCAACCAGAATGGCTCACAACTTTGCAATGGGCAACAGCAGAAGGGGCTGTGTGGGCAAAGGCCACAAAGCTTTTTCGCCTTCCACCATGTGACAACAAATGAATACAAGTATAAATACCACACAAAGTTCTAGTTCCTTGAATGTTCCCAGAGGCCTGCTTTTGGAGATGGCAGATTAAAGAAGCTATTGAAATATCACAGAAATGCAACATTTAACTCAGAGAAACTCCTACTGGAGCCACACTCTGCACTGGCTAGCAATGAATGACTAAAAGCAGAGGTCAGAACTGTACAAAAGAGAGAAGTGTGCAAGAGAAAGCAAAGGTATGTAGGTATGTATGTGTGTATGAATAATACTGCTATTCTAACACATTTTATCCTGGCATCACCAGGTTGGCCTCAGTGTCCAAGCTTTAGGAGAAGAGATTGCAGAAAGCTAAATGCAAACAAAAAAGCCCAACTGGGTCCAATAACTGGGCGTTGCATGATACCCTTCCTCCCCTTGAGTCAGCCAGAGAGCTTCTCACCACATGTACTGCCTTCTAACCTGCCCAGAGGCTTCCTTCAGAACTAACTTTGCTTTTAAGCATCACTGGTGCTTGCAAGCTGGCTGCCAGCCTCACCCCACCTGGCCAGGTGAGGATAGCTGGGGAATAGAGTCTGGGATGCATGTGGGACTCCAAGAAGAGCCTTAACCTCTTTTCAGTTTACATGCCAGCTCCAACAGCCAAGATGCTTTCCTTCATGAGCCCTGAAATGCAACTGGCGTTAGAAAAATTCACCTAGGTAAATGAATTGGAGAGGCCAAGCTTTGACACCAAAGTTAACAGGTGAGTCAGTACATATACTTGTGTTGGGCTGGACTTCCCAAAGGCTGAAGTGAAATATTTTGTTGCTATTGACTTTTACTTTGACGTTGGATTCTGGCTGCCTCAGGTGCTTTAAAGATCCCACTTCTTGTCTGCTGAGCTGCAGAACAACGAAGACAGTGTCAGTGTGACAAATGCTAGCAAAAATGCTAACCACAAAAGTCAACAAGAGTAGAAACCCCCAGACCAGTCTTTGCTGCTTCTCATGGAAGTGAAAAGGAGGAAGAGACCCCAAGACAGGAGAAAAGAGAGGTAGAAGAGAGCATCAGCTCTGGACAACCTCACTGATGAGCAGCATCTTCCTGCTCAGAACCAGAGAACAGGTTTGAGCCCTGGTGTCTCAGAGCAAGGATGAGAAGGAGACACTTGCTGTCTTCTGCCTCCTGCTTCTTCAAACATTTCAGCCTAAACCTGATTTGGCACATACATAAAATATACAAAGCAGCAGCATGGTTTCACATGAGGAGTAAGGCATGCACTGAAGTAATTTGTGGGAAGACAGATCACTGCTGAATCTTAAATTCCAAGTGCGACTGGAAGGAGAAGCAGTGTCTTTTACAGTTGGAGAAACAACTGGGGAACCACAGGAAGCAGGCTAACTTTCTGGACCCGAACCCTTCTGTATGGTATGAAGGGGAATGTCATGCCCTGGCAAAGGGCTTAGGTACGTGCAAGAGTATCTCTTATTAGACCAAACAAATTAAAAAAGGCACTCCAACAGTCCTGATCTCTAAATTTTAGATTGCTATTAACTAGCTTGATCTCTGATTCCCTCTTCAGGAACTACTCCTCTGATGTCTATTCACAACTACAAGAAAGCCACTGCTGTACAGATTTCAAAGGAGTTGCAGTCCATTGTGAGAAGAAACCATGCTGAGAAACAAGATCTCTCTACACATAGCTGGGGCTATAAGCGATGTTCACAGGACCAGCTCACTGCTTACAGCCCATGGAGGGTTTTTTCCCTAAACCTATGAGAACAATTGGGTAGATTTTATGCCCTAAATGTTTACAAATTCAGGGATTTGTTATGATTTCAAAATCTGTTCAAACAAAATCCTTAAGAAGGTAGTTAACTTCAAGCACCAGATATTCCCCAGAAGACAACAGTAAATCCCCATGTTTGTACTAGCCCCAGGATTGAGCTCTAATGGGGAAGAAGCCTGCTGTCTTCTCTCCCCCATCTTCTTAGTTACCACATGATATAGGCATGCATCGTTCGCACTCATGTTGCAATAACTGGAGTCTCAACTCCAAAACAGCTGCCACAGGCAGTGTCTGTGTACTCACAAAAATTCTTCTCCAACCTAAATTTAACTCCTTGCAAAAGTTTTTTGCTGAATCACAGTCCTCTGTGTAATGTGTACCCAGGGACAGCTGCCTAACTGTAGTACAACTTCTCTGCCATGCAAATCCTACACTCATCGGAATGACTCTTCTTAATTATCAAATCTACTTCTCATCTCAGCCATCCACCTTACTGATTGAAGCACTGGCCAAGCAAAACTGAATGCAACAACAAAGTGAGTAGTGTGCACTGTGAAAATAACAGTTCTTCTCCCTGTTTGCAGCAAAATTCATCAGCCCTGGAACTCCTGCCCATGAGTGGGGAGAACAGACCCATTTAACACTGAACTACCTGTAAAATAACTCAGCTGTTTGAGCTCCTTGCTGTGTTTATAGAAATATAGAGATACCTACAATGAAAATGTTTACAGTAATTGGTCATACTCTGTATGGAACAAATATCACAAGTAAATCCTAATACTCAAAACTGAATAGTATACAGTGTTAGGGACCAAGTTACATTTACAAATGCACAAACATTGATGCTATCTATTCAGCCTAATTTCTTCGTATGCAAGCTTCAATAAATACTAGCTACACTACACTTCAGGAGTCATAATAAATGTTGGTCATGCTAAAATCTAAGAAAAAACAAAATCATAAAAATTCTCCACCATCCTGCCAAAATGACACACAGCTTTTGACAGGTACTGTAATAATATAGTGGTTTCATGAAATTATTTAACATTGTACAATATCAAGTCTGAAACACAGGTCTCTCTGTTCTAAATGAACTTGAAATCAGAGCAGGAGCAACAGGTTTGTCAGCACTGCATCCACACATAGCAAAAGCAGAGACAGCACGAGTCTGTACCCGGACCAGTGCCGCAGTTACACAGAATAAAGTGAGAATTGATGCTGCTTTACTGGCAAAAGGGAGGAGATGGAGAGAAGAGGGCCTGGACATAGCCCCAGTTACAAGCGTCATTGCAGAACAGTGTGAAGAAATAGCCTAGGCTTTGTAGCCTGCTCTTGCCAGCACAGTCCTCAAAAGCAGCCCCTTCCCTGAAAGCCAGTGATTGCAAGTAGGAGCTCTGCTAATAAGAGCAGGTTACAGATGGTGCCTGTGCAGGACAGAAAGTGTGCTATGCCAATGGCACACAGGGCCGTTCATTCTCTGTATCCTAATATAAGTATTTCTGCCAACAATTTCTTGTGGAGGAAGTGAGTGATTCACAAGTACATCTCCTTTCAGAAAAGAAAATATCTCACACACGCAATACCCTGATTCAACTTCAGCTCACACTACTGAATAATAAAATTTAGATCCTGCTCTGGAAATTTGCTTATACGTTAGATCATGCCACTTTTCTCATCTTGCAAAGAGGTTCGTGAAGAGGATCTTCCTAGCAACAGCTCCTTCTCATGGATGAGGCTATCTAGCAGGTCCTCCTGTCTGTAGTTGTGATAAACCTTCAGGAAAGCCAGAATTGTAATTCCCAGCCAAGTCAGCCAGGCAGCCCAGAGACCAAACTAGAGAAGAAAAGAAATGATAAAGAGGTCAGCACTGTATTGTAAAAACAAGGTCAGCTGTCCAGTTAAATCTCAAAATCTCAGCTGGACCAAAACCCATGTAGTCACACCAAGTCACACCCAGTGAAGTCCTGGCCCCACTGTTCCTCGACTCTGTCAACTTATTCTTAGCTTAAAAGGAAAAACTCATTACATACTAGAAAAAACGAAGTAAAAATGTGCTATGTACAATATGAAAAAAAGAAATCTGTATAATCCAGGTGCGTTCATTAAACTTCCCATATCTGAAATTCTGACTGGCCCAAAATTCTTGGGTTTGTTTCACTTCTGTTAGTTTAGAACTGCAACATGTTTTAAGACATTTTCCAAAACTTTCTTCCCAAATCCTTTGGGCCTCCCACTACCCCTAGAGAAGTATATATTTTAAGGTATTTCTAGTCAAAATATTGTTGAAAAAATCTTATCAATTGAACTGTTCCACTGTGGGGTAACCGTTTGAGATTAGCATGAATTCAGACAGCAAGAGAAACCCACTTCAGTCCATCCAAGTTCCTGGTGGCTTATTTGTACCCAGCATAAGATACCCAAGATCAAAGCCTCAGATCTGCAGTAGGTTCCATCAGTAACTTGTCGGTGTCTCTTGCTTGACTTCGTGGAGATAATTACACTTTGATTCCTACAGGTACTTGAATGTTGGCGTCCCCGTCTCAGAGAAGGCTCATTTGTAGTAAGGCTTTCTAGCAGAAACTCCATTTTAATTCTATGATGCCTTTAGCAAAGAAACATTAACTGAATCCTTGTATTTCAGTTTTTACATACAGCATTTTTAATTTAAAAAATACAACAATTGAAGCACTTCCAGGCAGTAATACAGCTGTTTAATAGCCAATTCAGATAAGCAAGGGCTACTATTTTTTCAAGGGACTTTATGTTCCTGTGTATCTTACACACTTCGGAAATTATTTTAAGTATTGCTGCCCATACTTAGAATTATCTTTGTTCACCAGTAAAGAATACTTTTGAGTTATTCTACAAATCTTGGAAATAAGAGAGATTAATTTGGCTTTATATGACCATACTAAATAGTTGGAAGCTTTGCATTAATTCCTTAAGCACCACTTCATTAATGAAATATTATCTTAAAGGCACTTAGATATCTGTTACTGCTGTGGTCTTCTCAGCATATCTGATATGAAAGAATCTACATGGATTTATCCAAATTCACTGAAATTCCCAGAGTCATTCTGATGTGTTGGAAGCATCTGAATGGAGGAAAGTGGACAGAGACAGTATCTGTATACTTGTTTCTGTGCATTTGTACACACACAAATACATGTGCCAAACACCTAAAGCTTTAATTAAGCTGCCTATTCTTCCTTTCTAGATTTTACCCAGAGCCTGTATTTGTAATTCTGAAATTGTCTACCTTCTTGATATTTCCATTCAGACCACTGCTTCTAAGTAAAGCCTACTGTAGGAGATTATTGCACTTACAAGGAAATGTTTGCTTTAACCATTAAGTCTAGTCTATTCTTTGGTTTTTCTTTCTGCTCTTTCAAAGAGACTTATTTTTCATCCATAGACAGACCCATTCTTCTAGACAAACCACACTATATAAATGGCAGTAATCTTGAATGACTTCATATTTATGTGGGCTCAGGTGATCTCAGAAAAGCTCATGGAAGGCAAAACTAATAGCTCCATGATCTGGTACAGGTGAGACATTATTCTGAGCAGCAATGAAGAGCTGCAGGACACCAGAGAGCTGCAACATTTGCAGAGCTTGTCCTTTGGAGAAACAATAAATTTTGCATCATGAGTAACAAGATCAGTGGCAGAGTCAGGTTATGACATGTCCACATTCAAAGCTATCTATTTTGCATTTAAAATGCAAGTGTACCCATCACTATCATCCTGATTCACAGAATCACAGAATCACAGAATAGTAGGGGTTGGAAGGGACCTCTGTGGGTCATCTAGTCAGTGGAAATGTTCCCATCGATTTCAGAGGATAGTAGTTCAGCTCCAGCAATCCCAGATCAATGAGCAAACAGTAAATGAACTGGAATGGAACCATGACCTAGTCTGACCTACCTGTGCAATAGCAAACTGGTCATAGAAAGCAGAGTTTTCTAAGTTCAGTTCAAGATCTATGTCCTGTAACTCTTCACAGCTACCCAAGGAAGGCATTTGGAGGAGAAAAAAGAAAATTATTTCAGACATCCCAAAGAAGTAAACCAAAAAACATCTTAAACATGTTTCAAACAGTCACAATGGCATGTTCTATCAAAAGATATTTAAGTTATTGCAGTAATGAGGTTGCTTGCCAATCTTCTCTAAAACTAGGCTAGTAGAGGCATGTGATTATGTTCTTTAAAAAAAAAGGCATAACTATGTAAGTGATAACACCAGTCTTCCATAAGTGGAGATGTAATAGTTATTATGAAGACAGTATACCTAAACCCCTCTTCTCCCACTACCCTCGAGCCTCCCACATACACGCATCTGGCATCTCCCCAGGTTGGTTGCTTCACCCCTCAATGAAACAAAGTGTATGAGCCTCCATTACCTTTTGACTTCATCAGGGAAAGCTTCAGAAGAAGGGATTGTGTGGGTGTTTTTGTTTCGGATGCTCCAGCAAGGAGATGATACTCTGATGGTAAGATAGAGGCTGCCTACAGATTTTACAAATAACTTGGACTTTTAGTGGTGTGAAAAAAATCGCAGGATTTTGAGGTTGTCTTTCTGTCTCTTGGTTGATTTCTGTAGCCTCTTCTCTCTCCTTTTCAGTGCTGTCGGTCATCTTGGGTTCTTATCCGAATATTCGATTAGATGGTTTTTATAATTGAATTTTTAACCGAATATTCGAATAATTCGATTAATCATTGCAGCCCTAAACAGAACATTTACTATGGCATTTTACAACATATGACAATGTGCAACATAATTGTATGCTTTAAGTAGTAGGTTTATTCCATATCATATGACATAAAATGTCACCTTCTCCTCTCCATTGTTATTTGTTTGATAGGAAAAAATCTGCCTCAACTTGTCATGTTTCCTATGAGGAGCATAAGCATTGCAGGACACAGTAGACCATTTTAGGAGCTGTACATTTTGTGCACTGTAAGAAAGTACCAACCATCTGTACTTTCCACTTACAAAGTACTTTCCATTCTGTGGCTCACAGGGCATCCACAACACTGCTATGAGACCAGCAGATGGTCTTTATACAAATTTTTGGATGACGGTGCGTTGTGGCACATGCGGGATGAGTGACTTGCCCCGCTGTCACCATAGTGGTGCAGTGGCAGAGTTGGGACAGCAAGACAGGAGCCCTGACTCACAGTCCCCGGCCCTGCTCACAAGACCAGACTCCCCCCATTTTTAGACCATTTCCAAATCTAGCTCTTCTTCAAAAATGAAAATTAATGAAAATGAAAATTAATTTAAACTAATGGATATCTTTGGCGTATGATTGTGACTCAGAAGGAGACCATGAAATGCCATGGAAACGATACTTTTCTTTGTGGGGTACTAAACACAGAAAAAACCCGTTTTATTTCCTTTTTTAATTCCAGATGAAGAAAATCTGGATTTCCACACTACAGATGCCTTTCCTCACCTTGCTCACCTTGCATGTAATAACTACAGTTTGTAACACCACTGTTCTCTTGTGCATATATGAAAAAAAAGGAAGAAAATGTTTTCTTCAATACTGACCTATTTGGCATGCTTCCTTTTTCGGTAATTGCATCACACCACATGTTAAATCCTACACTCACTATAGTGCTAGCAATAAATGTGATAAACACCACAAAGGCGCTGATCAGCAGATTCAGGAAGGCAAAAAAGAAAGAGCTGCAATAAAAGGGAAGAAAAATGTAACTCATAAACAGCTGAAACACAACATCAGCAGTCTCTCTAAGCAGTATACACTGGGCAGAAAGATATCCATTTCCATTTGAAACACATCTGCTTTAATTAAGAACACCTAATACATTGAAAAACTATGGATTATGATTTTGAGTCGTATTATCTTCATTTGTAAGTGCTTTTGATTTTGATTTTTTTTTTTTCACCATAAGAGGACAGGGCTTTAAATCATAAACACTAAGTGGCAATTGTTCATACACAGCATGGCTTTCATTAGCTGTAATGATGAAAATCACCATTGTTAAAATAAATGCCATTAGCTCAAATTATGTACTAACTGGAGCTAAAATTCTTTCACGAGTAAAGTGATAATTGGGACAAAAATTGCCTGGGAGGGGAAAACTAAAAATAAAACAACATAGTACTGATAGCTATAATAATTTTAAGCAATGTAACACACGGTACTGCCATCATAGGACACGAATTGCAGTTTTATGGGCAATTTGCAGAGCAGGCCAGCTTCTCCTGAGCCTTCTCTGGCTTTGGAGTCAGTATTTTATTCTACCAGCTGAATGCCAATTTACCTCAGCCCCGTTAAGTCCGCCCAACCAGGACCGTCCGTAGGCGCGTGCTGGGTCTGGAGTGGTAGGGTATGGGATGCCCATAAGGCCAAGGAATTGTATACTCATCTTCACAGAATCACAGAATCACAGAAAGGTAGGGGTTGGAAGGGACCTCTGTGGGTCATCTAGTCCAACCCCCCTGCTGAAGCAGGGTCACCTACAGCAGGCTGCACAGGACCTTGTCCAGGCGGGTCTTGAATATCTCCAGAGAAGGAGACTCCACAACCTCCCTGGGCAGCCTGTTCCAGTGCTCCATCACCCTCA